TCAACAGAATTTATTACTTGTGAATGTAGTTAAAGTTGTACTGTAAAGCTCTGCCTTAATAAATCTCTCTCCTACAGTAAATTATTTTTAAAAAATTGTAACTGACTTTATCATTAATTTACACAGTAAATAATCCATAAACACAAGAGTGTCAGTAGTTTGAACAATGACAGAGAAAGATTTCTGTTATAGTGATATATTGCAGTATATTTCTTAACAGTTGACTGGAGGAATATATGGAAATAACTTTTTGAAGATACTCAGTTTTAACTAATCTATTACTGTTGCCTAACACAAATTTCACCTTGTTATACTCTATTATCTCCATTTTGCATAGGAGGACTGTTCCATAGTTCCATAGACTTGCACTCTTTAAAGAAAATTCTCCTAGTTGCAGAATATGGCATGCAGTTTGTGTACAACTGAATAAAAGCAGAAGTCAGAGACAGTGAAGTTACAACTGAAAATAGCAGTTGTCATCTCCACACATAGTTATACGATCAAGTTACATCCATATTCACATTTACACTTTTTGCTGCATATTTTTACACTATTATTTATAATTTGAGGTTTTTTTCCTCTATAGAAAAAAAAAAAAAAACCTTACTCAGAATAAATGGTTTGCATAACAAAAATCTTACAAATACACTAGAAACATCCATTGGATAGTTTCTCTATCACATCTAAAGAAAAAAATTTAAAAAAAGGTAATGTCAAGAAATTGTATTCCCTCAAAACTTCCTTCTGACCTATTAGTCATCACTAATGTTCACAAAAGTTATTTATATCCCACTGGACAAAACTGCATTAATCAAGTTCAAAAAAAACTGCTATTTCCTGCCTATAGGTCCTGCCTATAGAAGATCTAAAAAAATATTGTCACATCATGTCTGAAAGGTTTTCCCAGGTTCTTCTCCATATAACCAACAGACTGAAAGCTATTCCCTTAGATACTAATTAATTGAAATAACTGACATCTTTTTTTGTCTGCCTACTAGCTTATATGCACCTCTTCTGCATGAATTTACCTTAACTAAAAATTATCCTCTACATACCTCAGACTCTAAATTGGCAGATTTTGTCAGACTCTGGATACTCTGCTTTGTCCTCTTGTCTGGAGAATACAAGTATTTCCCTCATTTGATTCAAAGGCTAGTGGGCTGGGTTTTTTTGATGTTGTTGGTTTTTGTTTTTATCAACTTCTACACTACCTCTGTTAGAATTAATTGTTTTCTCTTCTTCTTTTACAATGTAATTTTGATCTATACACAAATATCTCAATTTATGACTATGTATTTCTTTGCATAAGCAATTCCTTACCTATGTCTAATAAGTGAACGTGTAAGTATTCCAGGAACCTGAAATGCAATGTGGATTACGAACCACTCTCATAAAAGGAACACACAGTCTCCTATCCTGAAAACAATAATACTCTTGATTGCAGGGGTAAATTCCAAATTACGATAATTCTTGTGATATCTAAAATAATATGCAAGGAAGATGACAGCTAATTTAAGGTGCGAAGCATACACACTGCTCCAAAAATAACTCTGAGTTATTAATATGTGCAAATATGTATACAATGACCCATAATAAATTAAGTTCTCATTCTAATAAAGGATTCATTTTAGAAAGCTGGCAATATATAATTTAACAAGAAACCAAAATGGATGCCTGAAGTCTTAAATCTAAGAAGACAAAAATAGAAATAGAAACACAATAGATTAGAGAAAAAAGATGTATGGATATATAGATATATAGAAAATAAATAATTATTTAATTCTTTAGGATGCCTAAACTAGTAAAATAAATCTCTAATATACACCCGAATTCTGATGGGCAAATTTCAAAAAAAAAGCTTACAATGAGTTATTATTTTATCTCACATTATATATATATAAAAATATATAAAAAACTGTCTTTAAGGGAAATGAAAGATTCACTGATGAAAAAAGTAACTAGAAAATACACTAGTACTAGTAAAGCTACACTGAGTTGAACAGTTGGCTTTTATCCTTTTTGATGGAACTGCTACCAAAATTCAGAGTTGGATAAGGTATTAGGACAGGTACGGCCAGAGGTGGCGAAGGACTGATAACCAATTTGGCAATTTGTGATGAAATTCTGTTTGTGTCTAGAAACATGCCAGCCCTCCTTTCTCAAGTATTAAAGGAATAATAATAATAATTATAAAAGATCTAGTTGCCTTTCTTGCAACCATACTTTTCAGCTAGGATTGGATTCAAAAGGCCTCTCTGTGCCTTTCTTAATGCCACTCATCTGAGCTGTTCACAGGACCCTACCACACCACGTAGCATTAAGCATGTCCTCCCACATCACCTGTCTCTCTGCGTCCATCCTCTCTTCCCCAGTCTGTGCTTCGGAAAAGCCTTTACTCCAATCATATCAGGATTACTGAGCATATTTGTCTTATTTAGGTCGAAACATATACTTAACTATATAGTTATCTTAAATTAATGATGGTATTATTAATAATAAATTTATCTAATAATATTATGTTCATAGATATACATATGCCTCTTATCTTAGCCACATACAAATTAGTATCTTAGGATATTGATACGATGATCTAAGTTACTTCCACAAATCATGCTATAGTACTTATCATTACAATAAATACTAGTTTGTAAAAATTGCTTCCTCTATTCTTCATGACTTTGAGTTAACTGGATAACATACAACTAATTCTCAAACAGTTAAAGCAGGAAGTTCATGCCAACATTTCTAGTGCTGCAATTCAATTCCTCAGAATCATTACCTGATGCATGTATTGCTTACAGGTAATTTGACTTGTGAGTTATATTCACCTGTAGCTACATTCACATGTAGTTAAAATAATTTGTTTAAAAATTCCTATTACTTTCTTAAATTATGATTACTAATATCCAAAAGAGGTGGTGAATAAACTTGTGAGGAATTTGCAGATGGATAAAGACAAAGAACAGGTACTGACAATGAAGTTTTATTTAACCTTTGAATGTCTTATAACGGTCACTCAAAATAAGTCCTTCCCCTCACATCTATTTTAGCATTTAAAGGACGATTAAAATAGAGATAAAATATGACCTATACACAGTCTTGGTTAGGTATAACAGAAAGCAAAAACTCTCAACTGCTGACATGAAGCAAAATATTATTACAGATTGTTTAAATTTTGAAGAAAGCAAGGAACGAGCCGCAGCAGACTCATAACACAAAACTGACTTGTAAAGGACCAGATTTTGCTCAGAAGCAAGGGCACAAAACTTTGATTCAGTAGAAACAATGAACTGCTGAATCTGGTCAACAACTATTACCCTCCATATGCCAAACCCTGCAACTGCTAAACAAGTAGGATGGACGGTCACAGGGTGGACTGAATTATGTCTCAATCACATACACACACAGAAACATACATTCAAAGATATACACATATAGAATTATAGTTCTGTATCTGTGCAATAATTTCTATGGAAGTTAGTTGCATTTAATGCCTCACATCTCCCTTTTCTAAAATATTTAACAGTCTACTCTGTTATTTGAACACTCAATCTGAACAACAATATTTAATGCCTACAAGAAACATAAAAGGTAAGTGATTCATGTTAACATTTTAATTTAAGAACATCTTCTAGAGTCATGTGCCATTTCAAATAAATCAGGCTATCCAGAAAAGAAAAACAAAAACAAAAACAACAACAACAAAAAAACTATAGGTCATACTGCGACTAGAAATAAATCAACATTTTAAAAAGACTTGTTCAGTTCACTTTTCACAGCTCACTTTTTTCCTTGAAAGGAAACAGGACAAAAATTAAAGAAAAAAATAAAAATAAGATTCTGAAGCCAAATTAGAAAACAGATTATATTTGGCCAAAGAAAACAGTACTCTTCTCAAAATCATTGCATTTAAAAATGGAATTAAAAGAACCCTGCTGCCTACACAGTAGTGTTACTGCATAGGACTAAAATGACAGCACCTGTTCCCTAACTGATCTTTTCCCTTTTACTCAGGTTTCACTTTTCAAAACAATCTTGCAAAGAACTTGAAAATCACAGAATCACAGAATTTTCAAGGTTGGAAGGGATCTCTAGAGATCATCTAGTCCAACCCCCCTGCACACGCAGGGACACCTAGAGCACGTGGAACAGGGTGGCATCCAGGTGGGTTTGGAACATCTCCAGAGAAGGAGACTCCACCACCTCTCTGGGCAGCCTGTTCCAGGGCTCTGTCACCCTCACAGGAAAGAAGTTCTTCCTCACATGCAGATGGAACTGTAATTTATACCCATTACCCTTTGTCCTGTCACTGGCCACGACCAAGAAGAGTTTGGCCCCATCCTCCCTGCATTCTCCCCTCAGGTACTGGTACATGTTGATCAGATCTACTCTCAATCTTCTCCTCCCTAGGCTAAACAGGCCCAGCTCTGTCCTCATACGATAGATGCTCCAGTCCCTTAACCATCTTTGTCGCTCTGCACTGGACCCTCTCTCGAAGCTCCATGTCCTTCTTGTACTGGGGAGCTCAGAACTGCACACAGTATTCTGAATTTTTATATAGATACACTAACTGAAGCATAAGTGATTTCAGTGATTTGTTTAAAACAAATATAAAATCCAAGAACTCATGTACATATAAACTCATATGCAAGAGTATCCCATGTTACTATTAAGGTTACACCACATTAAACAGTGTGAAGAATTGTTAAGATAATTTTAGATAAATAAATCTGTTTTTTTTTAATTTTGTCAGAAAAAAATGACTGAAATCTCACATATAAATCTAGTTGATAAAGTAAATATGAAAATGATTGCATTTTAAGATACTGACTTCACATTGTTCAAAATGCAGTCTTTATATTATTCATCCATTCATATAATTTTGCCAGTCTTTTCATACATCTTCTAAAACTCTTCAGGACTTCAGTTCAGAAAGATCTATGACAGTGTAATGCATAAGATATACTGTGTCACTGAACATTAATATACTTTAAAATTACCTGTATAGCAACTGCTCGAGCTACAAGACCTCTAAGATACTGTAAAGGATCTTCTGGGCCTTCCCACTTACTTTGCCATGTGAGGGGACACTGAAATAAAAAATGGATTTACAGAAAGTATCCATTTGAAAACCATCATCATTGCATTTTAATCTAAACCAAACTACATCACTATACAGAAAAAATCTGAAACAAATCACTTCAAAATAAAATATATGTTGAAGTTTAGCTGACATGGTTGTAATAGAGCAGAACCAGACTCCGCTAAGACCTTCTGACAAGACTGCTTTATGGCCACAATCCAAAATACTGATCTGTGACAAGATAAGTAGTCAATAAGCAGATGAAATGCTAGAAACACTTTGTTCAGTGTAGCAGGAGGCACTGAACTGATATTTTTGAGAGAGAAAATGCACAGAAACTTTAGAGCACATCTTTCTGACAGTATCTGGCATCATAGCTCCTGATGCTCATAATGCATGTGTATTGGTTAAAGCACACAGGCAAGCCACATTCTCTTGCTCAGTAACAAAAAGTTATTTAGACTGCTAACACGAAAATGATAACTTTCGCCAATTGTACTGAAATTTTGCTAATGCTATTTTTTTAGTCTCAAAAGAAAAAGAATGTTAATTCTAATTTGAATTTTGATAGGTAAATACATGCATAGCAATAGTTGTAATTTGAAGTTACTTGTGACTACTTAATAACATTGGTTTGTAATATGGACAGCCCTCCACTGAAAAGAAGTAAATTTCTCTGTACAAAGACCATTGACTGGCATTTACACAGTCCATTTTACCTCTCAGAATTAGTTTTGAATTCTAACCGTAATCGCCACCTGAAAGATTAGGATCCTCTGCAACTCACTAATCCATTTTAGACTCACTATCAATAACGAACTCAGGGCAAACAGTGACATGAGAATATGTATCAGAATTTCATTCAATTTCCTCATTTTCATTCTTCATTGCTTATAATGTTAATTCATGAAAAATTACTTACCTTCTGATTCAGCAGAGCACTTGCTAGTCTTTGTACTTCAGAACTCAATAATGAGGTACCTCTGATGACTTTACTTAAAGAAGCAAGTGACTGATGAACACTCTGAACAAGGAGAATGGCATTGAATTGTTCAAGAGCAATGAATGATAAGATTGGAGACCCTTGTCGCTCCATAGGAGGAGACACTTTCTGATGAATCAGGTTAGAATTCTGGAAAAGAACACACGACAGCCCGTTAATGAACTCAGGGAAACTACTATGATATATTACATACTCTACATTTAATTCACAAAACTTACTTCAAAGGTCAAATGAAGTAACATATTCCCCTTTCTTTCACTGTATGATAATTGTAACGATAGTTTCCTTATCATCACTGAGATATTGCAGTAAAAGCACCACTCTCCTGAGACTCCTGTCTACCCTATATTTTACAAGTACTGGATTTGTTGAAAATTCTTCATTTAGCTGAATGAATCATTGTTTTAAATATTTGGGCGAGTATAAGAGTACGATAAGCAGCAGTGCACTTACTACTGTGACTCTGTACTGGGTATGCTATGCTGCCAGATAGAGCTCTTCCTTTGATGACCCTAGTTTAACTAAACACTTCCAACAAAGGACAGTAGCTGCCTCTCACCAGTATCATTAGAGGACTGAAAACAAAGAGATTAGAGAAGCTCTACACCTCATTCCAGAAATATTATCTGATTAACGGAACCAATACATCTCTTAAATACAAGATATTACACACAGCCATGTAATATTCTATTTTAGCTATCAGTCCTATACTTTTTTTTCTTTTAATCTTCATTTTTCCTTGACATTGCATATTTATTATCTTGATAGAGACAGAAAAGTTTTACTTAAGATTTTATTTGCAGTAAAATGAAAGCAACTTTTTTTACAGTTAACAGTTCCGATAGTGGGTCTGTGCTGTTAAAAAACAAATTCTACCATTCTTTTCAAAATGTTAAGCATCCTCCAAAAAATAATCTAATATTGATTTGCCTTTTCTGTACTGCTAGTCATAAGCATGCACTGATCACAAACCTTTTTCATTTAAGGCAGTCTAGTTAAACACTGTATTCAGATATATCGAAGTGAATAATAAATAGTAGGTGGGCTAACATTACCAAATGTCACAGAATTATTTTACATTTTGAGTTGCTGCATGACAGCAACTCAGTGGAAAGTTCAGAGATGTTTCAAGAATAATCCCCTTCCAAGTGACAAGAAAGAGTCACTGATATTAACTACCTAGCAATTTTAAGAAAAAATGTTTGATGAGTTATTAATCAAACATCAAGGGAGAAGCAGAAAAAAAGACTTCTGAGAGGCAGAAGTTAAGCAGAGAATGCTTAGGTGAATACAGCTTTTCTATTATTCATACAATTGCACCGTGATTGCAATTATAGTAGAATATTTCTCCTATTAGCTCAATTTTGGAGGGAACAAAAAAAAAAGGACAAGCTGGCACAAAGTATTTATTCACACAATTAATGACTTCCTGTTGATCATGGCTTTTATGAATGTTGTGATTTAAACTTTTGATCTTAAGTATGATTGCAGCCTGCACATCATTTTAGATTTTTCTGCTGAGACTTTTGGAGTCTTTTGGACTTTTGGAGATTCCTGGTCTTGAGTTACCATAGCTCATAAATGCAGCTCGCAAAAACAAAACAAGAAAAATTAAAGAAATGCATTATGAGAATTATATTCCTTAAAGCGAAAACACAGATTTGAATAAAATCAGAGTTGTTTTAAACAACTCAGTCGTTATTTCTCCTTGATACTAAATTTTCTTAAAGTTCTAACTCAGCAAATCACTCAAATCTACTAGCAAGTCTCATAATTATCTAACACTGTGATACAGCTTTCTAAGTATCTAGTTTTTTTTAGTTATATAGTGAAAGCACATTGCTAGTGAACAAGAAAGTTAAAAAAAAGCTAAATCATAACTTTCACTTAGAATATAGCATCTTATGTGTAGTTCCAGGGTAACAGCAGATATTTTATGTCACTAACACAGTACATAACAGTTTTAGAGGACATATAATCTGTTTCAGTAAAAAGAATATTTGATTGACTAGCCAAGAATTATCTTTAAAGCCACTTTTTTAAAAAAAGTTTACTGTATAAATAAAAAGCTTAATCAATCTTGAAATGCTGTTGATTCACTGAAATCCAAATGTACTGATAATATGAACATAAGTACTTAGTTTTTATAGCTTATACTGAGAAACAACATATCTGCAATTATTGCATTACATGCAAATATTTAAAATAATATAATCTATAGGACAGGACTTATGTAATCGCATTCAGTTATGTTTTCTTTAGAAGAGGAACATGCAATCCCAAGTTTATTTTCAAAACTAGCTTCTATATTAAATACTGTATTTCTGAAATAGTACTGTGTATAAATTCTGAATCACTGAACTATTTGCAATTTCCTATTGTTATTTTTATCACTTTTTCCCTTCTATCATAGCTACAGAAAATTCAGATTTACTCATTAATTTAAAAAGATGGTATCATGTAAAATGTTGCAAATGTTAATCATGGCTTATTATATTTAGCATGTACTCTTAAACTACGAACTAGACAGGCAATTACACACTGCTCTGAATTTCAGTTACGGGATTTAAACTTTCATTGTAAAATTCTACAAGTTACAAATGACCCCCTCCCCTCCCCAAATCCTATCTTTTTGATAAATGTAATGGGGAAAAAACTATTACACCTTCTACTATTTTATTAATGATATTTCTGTGAAGTATCTCTTATTAAAATAATAACTGATTTTGATTTTTTTCAGGTTAAATGAAATTCTAACTAGCTACATGCTATCTTGATTTCCAGGGCACATAGTGTGTCTGTCTCCGTAACCATTCACAGACACTGTGAGTTTGTCAGAACTTTCAAATGTTTTTCATCTCAGGCTCACACTGCACTCATCCTCTATGCAAAAATACGAGAAAGAATAAGTGAAAGGCTAATGCAGATGACCAGGCTTATGACTGACAGAAAGCGAAGGACCATGTCTTGCTTCCTACACCGAGGCAGGCATACCACAAAGCCCTTTACTCGTCAAGGGTAAGGAACATACACTATTTATGTATGTCAAGCTCTGTATTTTGGGTTTGCATGCATTTTAAAATGTTAGTACAAAAGCTTTACTTCAGTTTTTCTGAGCCCATAGCTTACTGAGGATGAAAAGGGAATTACAGTAGTTTCCCTGTGATCCAGACTGTGTCTGATGTACAAGTGCTTCTAGCTTCTGTGGCTTAGGCTAGTTAGTAATTTCTTGTTCAAGTATTTAATTATCAGAAGAAAAAAAAAGAGCAATGCCATTGCAACTTGCAGCTTCTCTCGGTCTTTCACATACACCATCTTAATTCATTAAATGCACACTGAAAGGGGAAGCTTCTAAAATCCTCAATACTGCTCTTTACATAACACTGTCCTATGAATTCCATTTTTATTTCATCACTCTCTTTAATTGAATCGCAGAATCACAGAATGTTTAAGGTTGGAAGGGACCTCGAGAGATCATCTAGTCCAACCCCCTGCTCCAGCAGGGACACCCAAAGCACGGGGCACAGGGTGGCACCCAGGCAGGTTTGGAAAATATCCAGAGAAGGAGACTCCACAACCTCTCTGGGCAGCCTGTTCCAGGGCTCTGTCACCCTCACAGTCAAGAAGTTCTTCCTGTGTTTCAACTTGTACCCATTACCCCTTGTCATGTCACTGGCCACCACTAAGAAGAGTTTGGCCCCATCCTCCCTACATTCTCCCCTCAGGTACTTGAACATGTTAATCAAATCTCCTCTCAGCCTTCTTTTCTCCAGACTAAACTGGCCCAGCTCGCTTAGTCTTTCCTCATAAAACAGATCCAGTCCCTTAACCATCTTTGTCGCTCTGCGCTGGACACTCTCTAGAAGCTCCATGTCCTTCTTGTCCTGGGGAGCCCAGACCTGCACCCAGTACTCCAGACGTGGCCTCACCAGAGCTCAGTAGAGGGGCAGGATCCCCTCCCTCCACCTGCTGGCAACACTCCTCCTGATGCAGCCAGGATCCCATTGGCCTTCTTGGCCACGAGGGCACATTGCTGACTCATGCTCAACTTGTTGTCAACCAGGACTCCCAAATCGCTCTCCGCAGAGCTGCTTTCCAGCAGGTCAACCCCTAATCTGTCCCGGTGCCTGCGGTTATTCCTCCCCAGGTCCAGGACCCTGCACTTGTCTTTGTTGAATCTCATGAGGTTCCTCTCTGCCCAATTCTCCAACCTTTCTAGGTCCCTCAGAACGGCAGCACAGCCCTCAGGACTGTCGGCCACTCCACCTGGTTTGGTATCAAATACTTTCTCCTAAGAATTTGTTAAAACAACTCATCTGTCACTTTTATAGAAAAATTAAATGTGAATTCTGAGATCAGCTTATACATTTAATGTTCTATTACATTCCCTTAAAATCCATTATGTATATAACTCATGGTAGCTTTAGAAATATTATCATGACCTGCTTGGGAATGAAGATGAAGTGAAGTACAGTGCGCTCTGAAGAATCCAAAGAAATGTTCTAATCTTTCATGTTTAATACTGTATTATTCCACAAATATTAAATTAGGTGCATTTTGATATCTTCAGTCATCTTTCCTCTGACTTCTGTTTGTCACTATTTTTGCAATATAAAACTTCACACATTCACACCTATGGTGCTCCAAAAGTTTACTTCAATACCTCCCTAAGATTTTTCCAATACATTCTGAAAACTGTTCCCTTCAGAAATGTAACAAATATAATGAAAATTAATTCACATGCCTCCAATAATGCTGTATTTGACTCAAAATTTAATTTCTTTCATGGCTGGTTTTTGGAACACCTACACTGTCCTATTCCTTCCCTTCTTTCTGCCTATTAGTCTCTCATTGTTTTTACATGAATTTTTTATTGTTGAGGGTACAAGAGAGAATGATCTTAAAATTTCTGCTTCACTGACTTTATTTCATGACAAAAAACACATTTTTTTCTTAAAGCTGAGGTTCCTAATCTTTTAAATAAATGAGCAACAGCTTGTCAATTTTCAAAACTACTTTTTAATTCTCTTGTACTGTTATACTGCTTTATGAAAATCTTTAATTAATCAACCTTCAATTTAAAACACAACAAAAGATAAGGTAGGAGATTTTTCATAATTTGAGGAATCTTGACAGCTAATAATCTCACGAAAAATCATTTTGAAGTAATTGTTTCCAACTTCTTGGTATGGGTGAGCCACTTAACTTTCAGAGAAGTACTAAAGCATTCCCTGACACAATGCTGAAAATGCATCCCCCGTGCGACCAGCACACGGCACCTCCTCCTGCCTCTCGATGCGCATGGCAGAGAGCTCCTTGGTGGGACACCTGTGCAGCCACCACTGTGGACTGATAGTCCTGTACATTCCTGAAGAGCAGCACACAGTAGGCACTGTCTTAATTTTGTTTGAAAATGATGCACAGCCAGCCATGTTGTCTTAATTTTGTTTGAAAATGATGCAGCCATGCGTGCGCTCTGCTGTACTCTGCTATGGTTTAGGGCTGTGTGGAACAAAAGCCATAGACAACAGACACAATTTTACTGTAGAACCAGTTGAACTACTCTCATGGCTCTGCCCTGGCTTAAAGTCTACAGGGGGACCATCCATCTACATCAGCGGACATGACTGACTTTTTTTTTGGACAATTTATTCTGTGATGGCTTCGTTTTCTTCAGTAAACAATCATTTGTGCAAGTTTACACCATGCATCTGCAGACATTTTTTAAACTTAATGGTGAGTTCATACAAGTTTAATTAATTTGACTAGTGTTAATCTGTTATTAAATCACACTGAAAGGCACAGTAGAAGCAGTTTTAGGACAGCGTTCGTTATCAGGGTGTTCTTAAAAGGCAAGATTTGAAATGTGCATTTTCAAATGAGGCTAATATAGATTAAAATGTCAAGAGATTATAGAGCTTTGGGTTAGTGCAAAACAGCTAAATATAAAGAGGGAAATGTGCTTGTATAACTTTGAACACATCAGTGTACTGATCTGAGGCATATTTTGAGTACTTATTTCGTTTAAAGTAAAATTCAAAGAAAAATTGCTGTCTGAATTCTGGTTGGATTAATAAACAGTGAGTGAAAGAGAAGCAACATCCATGATCATACTGTTATGGAGAGGCAAAGAATAATAAACCCTAACCCAGCAGTTTCAGATTTTGTGAATAATTGGTCATTACATTTAACAGGGCTTTATATTGTTAGAAAGGAAAGATGAAAATGCTAAGCAAGAAAGAAAAACAGCTGAGCAGCATGACAAGGTGCCTGACACAGCCTGGAAAATAACCCCTCTAAGCATCCTGCAGCTCAGTGTTCAGGGATGGGGGCCATGGGCTAAGAATCAGCTGGAGAGTGAAGCCTCTGGTGGAGGGAGGTGACCCCAGAGGTGAGGGGACAGGTTAGAAGGCGGCCACCCTTGCCAAGAGCTCTCTGGCCTGTCTACCTCTGCCTGGGGGACTCAGACCATCAAGCACCATTCGTCAGCGCTGCCTACGTGGCGCTGGCTCCATAGCACTAGATACTCACAACTGATTTAGGATGTGAGCTTTAAAGATTAACTGCTTTGAATACGTAGTGCTAATGAATAATAATGATAAAGAACTAACCATCCATCAGCAATGTGTGTTGTATAGGAATATTAATGCAGTATAGTTTTATTTTAAAGTTTACAATTGGCCTCATTTATCAGTCTTCTGAATGCTGCCATTATAACTAATTCCCTCATATGTATATGCATATCCACATATATATATATGTACACATATATATATGCATGTACTTAGCTTAAACAGTTGCCTCAGAACTCTTGCACAGAAGGATTGCGGCGATGTTTAACCCCAGTCAGAGGGTGTCGTGTTGAAAAACATTGTCTTTTCTTACGTAGTTAACACCAGGAAGTGTTCAGATGACTCACAGAATTTATCGTAAAGTTATTTAGTACAATGATGTATTTTGCCAAAAAGATGATATTATTGAACATTTAACACGAATTAAAGGCAGATTTAATGAGAGATTTCAAAATGTAATTGCAAATTTTGACATTCTTCCATTCTAGTATTGCTATCTAAAGGATACATTTTTAGGCCACAATGTCTCTGACCTATTTCTTATCACTGAACAGAAAACCAGGCCAAATGTCTAGCTAGATATTTAATAATACTAGGTGGGAGGAATCCTCCCCTAGCTAGATATTTAATAATACTAGGTGAGAGGAATCCTCCCCTGGTAGCTACATTTCAAAGAGAATGGGCACATATTGCAGTTAAATACATCCTCAAAAAATATTTCAATGGTTGGAAAGCTACTGACATTTTTCAATACAGGGGAAAAAAATGAAAACTTTATACATTGCTTTGTGCATACTAGAGAAACGTGTGTTTGGAGTCTGTTCTCACTTCTATATGAAGAAAAAAGTGATAAGCTCATTATTATCACACATACAGAGACTGCAGCTAATTACATACATATTACATTGTAATTCTCACCTCAAACACATTGCATTTACTTTTTAACTTCTAATACATCAATATTCAAGATAATTTACTATACACCTTACTTTTAATATAGCTAATGAAAAAAAAAAAGTCTTTTCAAATTAGCTTCTTTCCTACCTGATTAAGTTTCTTCCATAGATTGAGAATTGGAGAAAGTTCAGTAGACCATATTTCTCTGTCAAATTTGCAGCCTGCAGTTACTGACCTGCTCAAGATCCGAAGCTGTGAAATGACCTGTGTAATGAGAATATAACGTAGGAAGATGGAAAAATATTGCAAATATGGAAGAATGTTAAACAAACTCATTTCAGTACCAAACAAACAAACAAAAACAATATTATAGCAACGACCCTCTGATTTATCTATGAGCTATTCTTTTCTGTATGTCCAAATATTAATCAAATTCTATTTGAAATACAAAAATAAATAGGTCCACATGTATTATATAGTTGAACTTCATTCATATTAAGCAGAGAACTAAAAAGTTGCAAGCTTTTCTTACTTTTTTTAGTCACTTCTTGTGTTCAGCTGTAATTTAAAAACTAACAAGGTATATAATTAATTAAAAAGAATATTTACTACAGAATCTATGGAAAAAAAGTGTTACCTTTAACTAACAGTAAAAATCTATCAGTATTCTATCAGTAAAGAAAAAAAAAGCATGTTACTAAATATACCTATACCTAAGTGTACCTGTTAGGCAGCACAACTCTAAGACAGTTATAACCAGTTAATTCTTCCAATTCAAATTATTTAAATGGGAAAGAGGGAAGAAGATCAGAGGGAAGAGGAAGTGAGAGAAGAGAAAGGTAGGAAAGAAAAAGGGAGGAACACTAAAAGAATAACTACAATACTCTCAGAAAGGAGAGACCTCCCAATTCATTATGTCCAAATGACCCTTTTTTTTTTTCTGTCAGCAACCCTGATAACTCTGTACATAAATGTATCAAAACTAATATTGCTGCACTCTGCAGCACAAAATGCCAACATCCTGAAACAGATCCAGTGCATGGCTATCCGGCTGATGTTGCGTACAGACAACATGACATGCTCATGCTAAGACCTTGAGAAGAGATGGCTGAGGAGAGATTTTATTGCTGTCTGCAACTTCCTAATGAGATGCAGCAGAGAAGGCAAAACCTGATTTTTGGGGGGGATTTAAATGGGAAAAAGAGGCAAGAGACACAAACTGCAATATGGGAAATTCTGACTTCCGAATTTGATATGTTGCCATAAATCCTACAAATATACATTCAGAATGCAACATTTGCAGGGCAAATAAACTTAGATACCATTTTGCAGTGGCTGATTTAGGTAACTCAACTCTATTGTGAATAAATATCTCTCGGTATATAGGCAGAATGAAAAAGGGTAAACTAAAAGCACTGAGATGATCAGCAGGACTTTAAAATAATCAGAACTTTGCAACAGACCTGTCGCAATTCCACTCCTTCAATTTATTTGCAGCAAAATTTCTCAAGAAAAAAGTGCTGAACTGAAATATCTCTTTTTCTTTCAATCTGAGTTAAGGGGGCTGGGGACCGCACTGAGAGTTTCCATTCTGAATTCCTGCTTAAACCAATCTGCTGTGCTCAGTGGGAACAGTAGCACCTTTTGTCTTTGAGCTGCTAATGCAGAAGAGAGGAGCAAGAACTGAAAAAGTGAGCAGGAGAAGCAAAAACAGAAATAAAGGAGAACTGCCAGAGATGCAGAAGGGAGTGAGAAAATATTCCAAAAAGTATTTTAACTTAGCTATCTGTTCTGATAAGAAATCATAATGAAGAGAAAAACATATGAGAAAGAATATAAATTTAGTTAACAAGTTCCTTTAAGTAAAAGTATATAAAAACAGCAAACTGATAGAAAAATAGACCGAGTTATTGTGTAAGCAGACTCTATCAATCTCTTTAATAGCTCTCTGTGGTAAAGGTCATATATGCTTCAAGGTGATGTCTGTTTTTAACTCAAGACCTGCCCTCCCCATCGGTTTTCATCATTAGCTAACTTTTTGAGGCTTGAACTTCACTGTTGTATGGTTTCTTCCAAAACATTGTCTGTCCTAGATTGTTTTTCCATCATCTCATAAGAAAATTCTGTCACTTTATCCTTTTTTTTTGATAAAATGTGACCTCCCTCCATACCTAAGTGGCTCACTGACAGTTATTGTCAGCCCTCATGAAAGGTTTTAGCTTCTTAATTTGGACTTCAAGAAGCATTTCCACTTTTACAGTGAAGTTAAACTGATGAACCAAGACTCTTAGGATATGTTTAGATCATCAGCACCTACATTCCGGAGTGAACAAAACCTACTGTTTTTGTCACTTAACCTTATTTTTGAGACCATTTCTGCCTAAGATCTTCCGAAATGACTAGATTTGTGTTGCTACTGAAGGGCAGCTGTCCTGACTGAGATGGTCATCAAGGCATCTATCTCCCATTTTAAATCAGTTGGAACTGAAAAAAGAACAACTCTTTGCCCACATGTCATGAGGTGAACTTTTCTGAACAGTCCTTTTCTATCTCCCTGGTTGAAGTGTCAGTGCAATCCTTTCAGCTGTTAAAAAGTTTATTAAACAAAAACAAGTGTGAAATCCTTTATGTCAAAGTACACTTGGAGCAGGTGGGGACATAAACAAGTCCCTTCTCAACCCACAAAATTCAATCCTGCATCTTATACTAGCCACATAATCATCACACAGATCTACAGAGGACTTTGTCCTTCAGTGGTCCTTCCTACTGACTACATAGGAAAACTAGTGCCTCTAGGTAGGTCCAGACAGGTCTGTATTGTGAAAACTAAAATGAGGGTCTTAATTTCCCAGAAATCAAACTGAAAACTTTCAGTTTATCTTACTGTATTATCTATATATGAGGTAGCTACACATTATAGCTCACATTATAGTTGACATACGAAAAAGTTGATTTTAGGGCACAATATTAGATATTTACATTAGGATATGATTAATTGTGCCTTAAACATGATACTTCTGTGACTATGAAGAGAAATTGAATGTGAATAGAACAGATGTAGATGTCTATGTTAGTTGAATCATATCCTTTGCACTTGATTTGAAGAGGTACTAAGTAGCTCCAGCTATAATAGCTGTATTGCTATGTAGTTATAGCTATAATACTAGGCAATCTAAAAATCTAATCATGGCAAAATAGGGCTAATGAAAATCAGAGCACTTTAAAAATACGTAACTTTCAAAGGCTCCCCACTGTTACCTTAATACATTCTTTTAATATATTACACACTAAAAGCTCTTACATGCTGTGCTAGTCCAGTCAAAATACATATCTCAATATAAATGATAAGAGGGCAAAGAACTACCATAAAGCAGGAAAACAATGTTGGGACTGAAAATATGAGAAAAGGATGGAAAGTTAATCCAATATAAATTAATGGCCAATAAAATACTGTTTTAAGAGGAGCAAAAAGGTTATTTAGAACCATCGGTTTTCATACAAGCAGCCTGTTTTAGGTGTGGAAAACTAACCATAACAGGACTTCTACTGAAAATTCAATAGAGTAATTTATTTGTGAACAGTGCATTTAATAACTATGGACAATACAGTGCTGCCGAATACTTTTTTCCATTCTTAGTAGAAAATTCTTCTACTGCATGTGTCTTTGCATTTTCAGCACTGAAAAACATGTATTACATAAATTAATAAAGCTGTGGCAACCAAACTTAAAATCTCAATATTTATTTAGCCAGTTATTAAAACTAACCACAGCTCAGCTTTTTCATGTGCTGCATACTTCCTTTTATGGGTTTCTGAGAATATATAGCACTGCATTACATTTAAAGAAAATACATTCGGCGAAAATAAAAGAGATAATGAACAGAATGGGAAGCAACAACAATAACAAATGATTCCATATTGAACTGCTAGAAAATTATTTTAGACTTGAAGACTAAAATAAAGATAGAGGAGAATGAGGTAACGCCAAGATTTTAACTTTTCTTTCCTTGGAGCATTGATAAAAACTGAATTCCAGGAATATAAAATCTATTTTAATTCTATTTTCCAGTCAGGTATTCACTGTGTTTTCAAAACTAAGTAACAGAGGAAAGCATTTTTACTTCTGAACAAAAAAAACATTAAACTCCCTTTCACTAATCTGCGGAAAATATCAAACAGATACTTTACTGCCATCTACCAGTTTTAGAAAGATGTAGTCTTAAAAAGGAAATCACTTCTATGTTTTAATTCCCCTAAATAAAATAATAAATCTCTTTACAAATCTGTTCAGGAGATATTTTTATTTTTATAATACTTTACAGCCTAAAGCAAAATATCAAGGTATAGCATTATCATATTAGTAAATATCAGCAAAGCAGTAACTCAGAGCAGCAAAACTGATTTTCATTGACTAACATGTATGACCAAGACACAGAACAGACACCAGTTTGATATTTTTTGTGACTGAACCACACAGTTAATGTAGCCAGCAGGACTAAGGAAGTGACCATCCCCCTGCATTCGGCACTGGTAAGGGCACACCTCGAATCCTCAGATAGTTTTGGGCCCCTCACTACAAGAAAGACATGGAGGTCCTGGAGCACGTCCAGAGAAGGGCAACGAAGCTGGAGCACAGGCCTTATGGGCAGCAGCTGAGGGAGCGGGCGGTATTTAGTCTGTAGAAGGGAGACCGTATTGCTCTCTGCAACTACCTGAAAGAAGATTGTTGTACCAAGGCGGGGGTTAATCTCTTCTCCAGAATAACTACAGACAGGACAAGAGGAAATGGCCTCAAGCTGTGCTCATGTTGAATATTAGGAAGGATTTCTACATGGAAAGAGGGAGGAGTGGCGAAGCATTGGAACAGACTGCCCAGGGAAGTGATGGAGTCATCGTCCCTGGCAGTGTTCAAGAAACGTGTAGATGAGGCATTTAGGGACATGGTTTAACAGCATGGTGTTCAAGGGTTTACAGTGGGACTCGATGGTCTTGAAGGTCTTTTCCAACCACAGTGATTCTATGATTGTCCCTTATAAGTTTGGCTGCAGTTACCCGCACTGTCACAGAAGCAGCCCCAGATCAAGCTGCCAAGGAACATTTCTGTTTTTCAGTCTCTCAGGATCCTCTAACTGTCTCTGCAAGAACAGGACCCATGAGGGCTGTTAGGACAAGGGCACTTGAATGCCAGTCATAAGCAAATCTGTCACACTGCATGTGGGTGAATTTTGGCTAAGAAGCAGTACAAATTTATGCTTTTGTTACTC